CCCCCCCAAAGGAGAGGCCTCTGGCTGCAGCCGGCTCCCAGTTCCCGAATGAGTCACCAGCCGCTGGCCTGCTCCTGGTGGGAGCCGCATCCGGGAGCTGCTGAAGGACACAGGGGACTTTAAAGGGGGGGCGGGGGACAAGCTGCGGAAGCAGCCCCCGGCTCCTGATCCACCTGCTTGGCTCTGAGCTTTTTTAACAGCAGCATCAGCCTGTGTAGGACTCCTGGGGGCTGGGAATTGGCTCTGGGAAGGCAGCAGGGTCCAGTGGTTAGAGCTGGGAGCCGGGAGTCCTGGGTGTTGTGAATTGGCTCTGGGCAGGCAGTGGGGTCCAGTGGTTAGAGCTGGGAGCCGGGAGTCCTGGGTGTTGTGAATTGGCTCTGGGCAGGCAGTGGGGTCCAGTGGTTAGAGCTGGGAGCCGGGAGTCCTGGGTGTTGTGAATTGGCTCTGGGCAGGCAGTGGGGTCCAGTGGTTAGAGCTGGGAGCCGGGAGTCCTGGGTGTTGTGAATTGGCTCTGGGCAGGCAGTGGGGTCCAGTGGTTAGAGCTGGGAGCCGGGAGTCCTGGGTGTTGTGAATTGGCTCTGGGCAGGCAGTGGGGTCCAGTGGTTAGAGCTGGGAGCCGGGAGTCCTGGGTGTTGTGAATTGGCTCTGGGCAGGCAGTGGGGTCCAGTGGTTAGAGCTGGGAGCCGGGAGTCCTGGGTGTTGTGAATTGGCTCTGGGCAGGCAGTGGGGTCCAGTGGTTAGAGCTGGGAGCCGGGAGTCCTGGGTGTTGTGAATTGGCTCTGGGCAGGCAGTGGGGTCCAGTGGTTAGAGCTGGGAGCCGGGAGTCCTGGGTGTTGTGAATTGGCTCTGGGCAGGCAGTGGGGTCCAGTGGTTAGAGCTGGGAGCCGGGAGTCCTGGGTGTTGTGAATTGGCTCTGGGCAGGCAGTGGGGTCCAGTGGTTAGAGCTGGGAGCCGGGAGTCCTGGGTGTTGTGAATTGGCTCTGGGCAGGCAGTGGGGTCCAGTGGTTAGAGCTGGGAGCCGGGAGTCCTGGGTGTTGTGAATTGGCTCTGGGCAGGCAGTGGGGTCCAGTGGTTAGAGCTGGGAGCCGGGAGTCCTGGGTGTTGTGAATTGGCTCTGGGCAGGCAGTGGGGTCCAGTGGTTAGAGCTGGGAGCCGGGAGTCCTGGGTGTTGTGAATTGGCTCTGGGCAGGCAGTGGGGTCCAGTGGTTAGAGCTGGGAGCCGGGAGTCCTGGGTGTTGTGAATTGGCTCTGGGCAGGCAGTGGGGTCCAGTGGTTAGAGCTGGGAGCCGGGAGTCCTGGGTGTTGTGAATTGGCTCTGGGCAGGCAGTGGGGTCCAGTGGTTAGAGCTGGGAGCCGGGAGTCCTGGGTGTTGTGAATTGGCTCTGGGCAGGCAGTGGGGTCCAGTGGTTAGAGCTGGGAGCCGGGAGTCCTGGGTGTTGTGAATTGGCTCTGGGCAGGCAGTGGGGTCCAGTGGTTAGAGCTGGGAGCCGGGAGTCCTGGGTGTTGTGAATTGGCTCTGGGCAGGCAGTGGGGTCCAGTGGTTAGAGCTGGGAGCCGGGAGTCCTGGGTGTTGTGAATTGGCTCTGGGCAGGCAGTGGGGTCCAGTGGTTAGAGCTGGGAGCCGGGAGTCCTGGGTGTTGTGAATTGGCTCTGGGCAGGCAGTGGGGTCCAGTGGTTAGAGCTGGGAGCCGGGAGTCCTGGGTGTTGTGAATTGGCTCTGGGCAGGCAGTGGGGTCCAGTGGTTAGAGCTGGGAGCCGGGAGTCCTGGGTGTTGTGAATTGGCTCTGGGCAGGCAGTGGGGTCCAGTGGTTAGAGCTGGGAGCCGGGAGTCCTGGGTGTTGTGAATTGGCTCTGGGCAGGCAGTGGGGTCCAGTGGTTAGAGCTGGGAGCCGGGAGTCCTGGGTGTTGTGAATTGGCTCTGGGCAGGCAGTGGGGTCCAGTGGTTAGAGCTGGGAGCCGGGAGTCCTGGGTGTTGTGAATTGGCTCTGGGCAGGCAGTGGGGTCCAGTGGTTAGAGCTGGGAGCCGGGAGTCCTGGGTGTTGTGAATTGGCTCTGGGCAGGCAGTGGGGTCCAGTGGTTAGAGCTGGGAGCCGGGAGTCCTGGGTGTTGTGAATTGGCTCTGGGCAGGCAGTGGGGTCCAGTGGTTAGAGCTGGGAGCCGGGAGTCCTGGGTGTTGTGAATTGGCTCTGGGCAGGCAGTGGGGTCCAGTGGTTAGAGCTGGGAGCCGGGAGTCCTGGGTGTTGTGAATTGGCTCTGGGCAGGCAGTGGGGTCCAGTGGTTAGAGCTGGGAGCCGGGAGTCCTGGGTGTTGTGAATTGGCTCTGGGCAGGCAGTGGGGTCCAGTGGTTAGAGCTGGGAGCCGGGAGTCCTGGGTGTTGTGAATTGGCTCTGGGCAGGCAGTGGGGTCCAGTGGTTAGAGCTGGGAGCCGGGAGTCCTGGGTGTTGTGAATTGGCTCTGGGCAGGCAGTGGGGTCCAGTGGTTAGAGCTGGGAGCCGGGAGTCCTGGGTGTTGTGAATTGGCTCTGGGCAGGCAGTGGGGTCCAGTGGTTAGAGCTGGGAGCCGGGAGTCCTGGGTGTTGTGAATTGGCTCTGGGCAGGCAGTGGGGTCCAGTGGTTAGAGCTGGGAGCCGGGAGTCCTGCAGCGGGGGGCTGGCCCCTGGCTCGCTCTCCCTGCTGGCGGAGGGGCAGGGGGTGCCAGGCCCTGGGCGCTGCAGGCTGAGTGGGGGTGCTGAGCCAGGCTTCCTGTCTGTCCCAGCCCCATGGCCCGTTCCGCCCCCAGCGCAGGTCCGGCTCTGCATGCTGCCCCCGCCCCGCCACCAGTGGGCGCAGAGGGGTGTGCGTGCACGCG